CGAATCGGAGCAGGCTAGACCGTCGCTGCGACGACGGGGAGCGGGAACGATCCTCCGCCGCGGCAAATCGATCCTCCTTCCGAAGGATCTCTGGCGTCCGACGGCTGGTCCTCTCGCAGGCTCCAAATCGGTTTCTCGAGAGTTGTCTGTCGATCGATCGGCTCGAATCCGGAGTAGGATCGAAAGAGAACGATCGGTTCCTCTGATCGTCGACGAATCCGTATCGCTCGATGGTTCGTACCTAGCGCTAGTTCCCACTCCGAGGATCACCAGGGTACACCGCGGAACAAGCAACAAGGGGTTAATCACTAATTATTCCAGCCAGTACACACGAGGAAAACGCTTTCTCAAGGGCGAACTCTTTCATCCGTACACTTTTAGGGATCGTTTCACCAAAACGGTATCGTACGTGGGTCCGCTCCGAACGATGATTCTCCAATCGGCGCACTATCGAAACCGCGTATCGCGCTTGCCACGAGTCTCCATGACGATCAGACGAGTAGCGATCGTACCGAGAAAAACAAAGTCACACCGGGATCCCGTGATGAGCCGAGAGCCACACAGCTCGTCGCGAGATCGTCCACGAGGAAGAACAACGACACGCTCCGATCCGCTTCCAGCGGCGTCGACGGAGAAACTAACTGAGCTAAGGGGGCGAGAGAGCGTCGACCCCCACCATCGAGCAACGCGCGCATCCCCACCACCCGACTAACCGAGTGATTCCCCTCTCGCGCCTAGTCATCCACCCCATCACCTCGCTTCGCCATCCACGGCAACCAGCTCGCTTCTAGCCACCGCTCGCCCCTCTGGTTCCTTCTCGCAAACCCGACAGAACGTATTTCCCTCCCTCCCAACCCTCCTGACCTCCCTGCCACTGCTTCACCCCGTTCTGCTCCTCTATCCTCTCGCGTCCCGCCACCGTTTCTCAGACTCTCTCTCGCTCTCTCTGCTCGGCCTCGCCGCTGAACTCTCAAGGTGGAGGCACTCGGCGACCGGAGGAGATGCGCTCTCTTGGTATCTTCTCTCGTTCGTTCGTTCTGCCTCTCGCTCTTTGGTATTTCTACGTGTGTTATGTGGGATCCGTGTGTGCGTGTGCGCGAACGCGAGAAAGGTGAACCGTTAGGTGGTAAGATCCGAGGGTGTTCTAATCACTCGAAAAAGACGGAGGACCATGCGTTTCGCGCGTCCCTTTCGGATCACGTTTTGGGATAGGACGAAAACGTCTGGCAAAATCCAGCAAAAATGTGATAGAGGTGTTCTCCTGGTAGCAGATAATTTTTGCCCAATATTAAATATAGGCAACTGCTATCTACACTGTCTTTGATGTCACATGATACAAATGAGCAAAAATACACGATGTGGACCATTATAACATAGTTCATGATTTTCTATGGATGACGTTTTTCTAAATCACAAAGTTCTGAAGTTTCAATACGTCCCAAGATGTTATAATTCTAAACTCTTCCAGACATTTAAAAAGTTCCAAATTCTGTAATAGCGTTCGATTTATCATTCGAATGAGGTATACAGAGTGTTTCACTTAAGTTGAACAAAATTATTTTCACCGGTATTAAAGCTGGAAAGAGATAAATGACGGGGTTTTACATTTGTTATCATCTCTGAATGTACATCCTTTCATAAAAGCTCCCATCAGTCATATTTTTCCACTCGTAGTAGCAATAAAAGTAATGTATTCGACTTAAGTGAAACACCTAGTATGCTCGAACAATAAAATTTGATAAACGCGTGTAACATCTAAAAGTCTCCTAATTCAACATTACGCGTGAACGACTCATACGATCTGTTCCTTGTTCATTTCGCAGAACACTTATGTCTTCCGCTAGAAGATCTAACGCGGTTACAACGTGTGCCTATCGCCACATCACAGTACTTTGCGTTACGACCGATCGATCGTATTGGACGCAACGAATCGTGCAACATGGTTCCGAGCGTTTATCGATCGAGCTCGTTTTGCTGGCAATCGTAAGCTGCGTTTCCTCGGAATAAATTCAATTCGTTGCAGGGGGAGGGGGTCGTTAAAGAGGCATCGTTGATAGATTCGTTTCCCCTTTGTCAGTTCATCCGGCGAATTGTTATTGGCGATGTAAATGACGGAACGAAATTATCGTTGTATTTTATTACCGATCCGTCGGTACAAAGAAGGGATTACATTTTTACTCCGATTTCAGCTGGACGCGCGATTCGATCTGGCAACGAAGTTGTTGAATTATACAACGTTTCGCGATTACCAAAAATCCTCCGGGTCTCTTTGTCACTTATCACCGCGCACTGATCCGGGCTAAGTCTATTAAACCGTCCGAGAGGAAAGGCGGCGCTTGTAAAGTGCTTGCGAAACCACGCCGGGCCACGTAACCGAGCGTGTATACACCGCCCGGTTCGTGAAATATGTCGCGTTCTCGAAATTTATTCATCCGTATCTCTTGCGAACGATGAAAACCGCCCCTGGACAAAAGAGCACCCCTATCTCGAGGTATCGCATAAACAACCTAAGATCGCGATCTTCCTTCAGGATGTACGACCCCTCCATACCTTCCCTGCCACGTTTCGAACAACGCTGTTCCTCAACCAGTGTCGCGTCTCTCGAGCTTCGACTCGCCGAAAAGAGCCGCTCTCGGCAACGACGCTTACGACTCCCTTCTCCGCCTTTTCCCCGCTAATCCCAAAAGTCCATAAATACTGGAAGGGAGTTTATTCTGCGAAGGGTCGTTTACAGGATCACAATTGTCGCCCTGACACGGGCCGGTGATGACGCTTTAATCCGACACCGTTATGCGCGGCCAGGAATGTTGCAGAATTTGCGACACCGTTTCGGTTCGCCGATAACGCTTGGATCGCGCCGTCCAAAGCGTTGTTACGCGAGTGCGCGATGTTTAAACGCTGTTGTCCACTTAACAGCGCCCCACTTGACCGACATCGACATGCTCATATTATTATGGAGAGTTCGTGATGTTATTTTTGATACGCATATAATTATGAAAATATTTTGACGTAGTTGTAATATTATTTAGGCGTCACGAGTGGGTAGAATTATAATTGAAATTTATGCAAGGTGCTTCGCGTAGATTGATACAGTAAATTGAGAAGTTATTTTTCGAACTCGAATTGCTGAGTGTTGAATAATGAACAACATGTAGGTGACTAATTCGCACCAAACAGGGGCGTTAGAAAGCTAAAATCCTATCCAAGATGCCTTGCAGATAATTGTGTAATGTAAATGCCATCATGTTCGGGCTTACGTAAGGCGTACGTAAAACATGATCCACGCGGACGATTGCAGTCGGCTCACACGAGAATACCAATAATGCACTACTCCTTGGCACGTTTTTGCGCCCGATTCGAGGACAAATTGATCACCGTTGCAGTCCAATCACGATACCCATGTGAAGCAGTTACACATGTTCCTTTTATTTAGAGGCATTTTAATTATGAATCTATCATTACCGTATATGTGTGTACACTGGATTTTCAAATTAACGAATTTAATCGTCTAAAATTGTCAATTGGAAGTCTTTTACCCTTGCACTGATCTTAGACGATGGACTATTATGTTTGAATACATTTCACTTTTAGCCTGACTTACATCTTTATCGCATCAGCTATTCCGAAAGCAATTACGACATAAATGCGTGTTACGACTTGCAACTTTGCTCGACCGAATAAAGGTATTATCTGTCGGAGCACGGTTGACGGACCAGGTCGTAGCCAATTACGTACGACAAATGTTTATAAATGAAACATGATTTCATCCATCAGAATGGCAAGTGAGTGACACACGGTTTTACACTTCACGATCCGGTGACAATCGTCAGGGTGTCACAGTCGGTAGCCGGGCAGCTGCCTGAAGCGAGATTTCGATGATGTTCGAAAAGGGGATGCGATGCGAGAAGGGGGCGAGTTTCGTATTCTCCTTAACCTCCGTGAACCCTCGGTCTGGCTATTTCACGGTTCATTCAGAGGACCGAAAAGCGAGACGGTCGAAAGGATCAAGTCTAGAGGAAGTAATCCAGATCGTCTCGTCCTCCGAGCGTGTCGCGCGACCAAAGCACCAGGTGAGTTCATTACACG